TCACTCACTCAAAAACACACACACACACACACACACACACACATCTGTAACACACACACACATCTGAAACACACTCACTCATCTCTCACTCACTCTCTCTCTCTAACACACTCACTCACACACACACACACACACACACACACACACACTCACACACACACACACACACACACTCACACACAGACAGACACACATATACACACACACATACTCATACTCATAAAAATGCCCCGATACCGAAAGCTGATACCACACAGCGTGTGAATATCGGTATCGGCGAGTACCAAAAATGAAAGTATCGGTATTGGACTCATTCTGAAAAAAGTTATATCGGTGCATCCCTAGTAAAAACAGAAGAAAAAAATAAAATTCAAAATATGAAGAAAAACGTCTCGGGTTACCTGAAGGATGGAGTCGCATTTCTATTAAAGCCATTGACCTCCATCAATTACTCGCTAATTAAGTCTTTAACTGAAATGCTCTCTTGCATCTGGAGGAGGCGACGAACACGATGGGTTTTCAGATATTAAATAATCAATCTAGTAATTAAGGCGCTCTAATCAGCCCAGAGCGTTTAATTGATGTGAAGAGGGAGAGCTGTCAATCAAAACGAGACGTGATCCTCGGGTCACGAGTTTCAGCTGCTGACGCTGAATTAAATGTAATAAAATAAATAATTAAAAAAAAATTAAATACTGATTAAATTAGTTGTTTTAATTGTTTGCAAATGCTGATGTTATGAAATGCATTATTTTACATGTTTTAAAAATCATTTTTACAGATAACAGGATCAAACATGCTAAATTAAAAATCATATTTCATTACTATGATAAACCTGGACAACACTTGCTGACACATAATGAGGTCATATGACAAAAATATAAGAAAATACAGTTTGGAGCATTTATCATTGTACAGTAGGCAGTATGTAGTGCACAGTATGCACTCAGTAGTGTGCTAGTGTTCCATTCTGAACACTAAAAGCTGAATTTCTGGAACAGTCTCCATCTGCCAACAACAAGTCCAGACTGATAAATAATATGCTTGGAAAATGTATTACCGTCACATTCGACGCGGCTCTGGACGATAGCACGAACCCCCGGCTGTCAAAAGCAGCAGAAAGATCCAGCAGAATAAGGACTGATGATTTGGAATCAGCTTTTGCAATCCGCAAGGCTTCTGTGACTGACAGTAGCACAGTCTCAGTAGAATGGCCACTCCTGAAACCTGACTGGTTAGGATCCAGTTTGTTGTTCTGTGAAAGAAACAATGATATCTGGTTGAAAACAACTCGTTCGAGGGTTTTCGCTATGAATGGAAGGAGAGAGACAGGTCTGTAGCTATCTGTAAGTGAAATGTTTAAACTGGTCGATTTGTTTGCAAATGCTGATATTGTGTCATTCATTCATTTATTATTATTAATAATAATTAAACATAATTAGAATTTTGATTTCCAAGTCTGAAAAAAAAATCTTAGAAGTGCTGAATTCAATTCAGTAATACTAATGCTACTATATATATATATATATATGTTTCATGCTGAATGCGATAATAATTGCAGTACATTTTTTTAATTAAATGTAATTTTTAAATGCATCACAAAACGCATACGATGCATATGTGTGCTTTGTATTGTGTCAAAGAGCATCTCAATGTTATTAATTAATACTTATATTTATTTTTAAAGATGACATCAGTATTGCAGTTTTGTGTTTTTTACCAACAGTATACTTGTGAAAAAATGACAAAACTAACTTCCAGTAGATCTATGCATTTGTAATTTAAAGTCATTCTCATTTGGGAAAACAAGCCCAAAACGTTTTGATGAAGATTTCTTCAATTAATTCTATAGTGCAGAAAAATATCTAGAATTAAAAAGTTGACTTCAGTAGCAAATCATGGTTGCAAATAAAGGCTATTTAAAGAAAAAATGGGAAATACATACATACACTATTGATCAAAAGTTTAGGGTCCATTTGATTGTTTTTCCCTCAAAAGAAATTCATACTTTTATTAATCAAGGATGCATTAAATGTATTAAAAGTGCCAGTAAAGATATTTATAATGTTTCAAAATATTTATATTTCAAATAAATGCTGTTCTTCTGAACTTTCTGTTCATCTGTGAATCCTGAAAAATAAAATGCATCACAGTTTCCACAAAAATATTGTGCAGCACGACTGTTTTCAACATTGCTAATACTCAGAAATGTTTCTAATAAATCAGCATATTATACTGATTTCTGAAGATCATGTGACACTGAAGACTGGAGGAATGATGCTGAAAATACAGCTGTGCATCACAGAAATACATTACAGTTTAACAGATATTCACACAGAACACAGCTGTTTTACATTAGAATAATATTTCACAATTTTCTGTATTTTTGATCAAATAAATGCAGCCTTGGTGAGCAGAAGAGATAAAAACATTAACAATTCTAGTGATTATAAAGTGCTGTATGTGTGGTTGAGTTACCGGCTCAGATCTGTTCATTAAGCTGCAGTCATGTGTTCTCAGTCTCTGGTTCGGTCTGGTCTTCAGCAGGGTGAGGTGGACTGCTGGCCTCTGTCCTGCCCGCCGGCGGACTGTGTCTTCACGCTGGTGCCCGAGGGAGAGTGCTGCCCGCGCTGTGTCTCAGACCCTTGCCAAGCTCACGCCGTCCACAACGACATCACCAAGACCTGCGAGGACGAGCACGGGATCACACGCTTCAGCGGCTCGTCCTGGATCAAACACGGCACCGACTGCACACTGTGCCAGTGCAAGGTGATCACTCACTCTCTCACACACACACACACACACACACACACACACACACACACACTCTCACACACACACACTCACTCACACACACACACACACACAC